AGAAGAGAAGGAAAGAAAGAAAAATTGCAAGAACAGAAAAAAACACATGCCTCCAATTCTTAATAATTTGTGCTAGTGGGAGTATATAAGTTCTTAATGAATGTAAGGGCTATGTGCATATGATTTGGGGCAAATGAATTGTTGAGAAGAATAGGTGTTTGAATTGTAAATGTAGTGTATCAAAGTGCTTAGGAGGTTTGGTCACTATGTCTAAATATATCATGCATGTCCCTTAGTCTACATTACAACCTTAAAGTCCTAATTGATCCTAGATTTGGCTAGCTTAAATTAGTAGAGATATACACTACGGGCAAGCTTATGGCAAGACCATGGGATGCACATGAATTCTTTGTGAGAGTGAACGAATTTTGTTTAATTGTGTGATGTCCTTAATCTATATTCAAAAGCATATTTGAATGTGGGGACTAATCTATATTCACTCTTTTGTTTGTAGGTGAGGGCATATGATCTCATGAATGATTGGTAATGTTGTAAACTTTCTTGTTGGGTGGGTGCGTGAGTTGAGGGTGCTTAATGGTTACAAGTCGGCTTTTGAGGTTGGGTGGTAACAAATAGGTTGTTGGAATTGATTGAATTGAAATATTATACTTAGGCATGCTTAAACGGGAAGAAAGTGAAATTTTGTATGTTCATGCTTATGTGCTGGTATTGATCATAGTTAAGGGTATAGTGTGTGGTTAAGTTAAAGTGATCCTCTTTAATTAAGACGTGTACGTGGTTGGGTTTTTATGTGATAGTCCCATTGCTCGAGGACGAGCAAAAGTCTAAGTGTGGAGTGTTGATTTTTTGCTTAAAATATATATATTTGTATGTATATCGCCTCATATCTTACTTTTGTTTCATGAATTTAGGATGTGAAATGCATTGATTTATATTAATTTGATGTGTTTTTATGTGTAGGAATGATCCAAGAGCAATCGGGGGCTATATGAGCGAAAGTAGAGCAAAAACAGACAAAAACAGGAAAGTTGGACATTTCAGTGCCACAGGTGGCGCCTGGCCCTACTTGTGGCGCCATAAACATAATGTAAAATTTTAATGCGCCGTAAAGGGCGTCTGGAGCTAGCTAGGGCGCCAGTGACGTGCAATTTCTCTAATTCTGCCCGGGACACGGTTATTTCGGCCCTAGACCTACCCAACACGTATAAAAGCAAGACAAAACTTATATGTGAAGAGGAGACGCCACTTTGGAGATATCTAACATACTTTGAAGGGGAATTCACGTGGAGGAACACACACCACGCTTGGAGGAGGCTTCTAACCAGTTTTTCTTCTCTTCTCTTCCTTTAATTTCATAGTTTATGAGTTCTAGAGTTTTGGGTGCTACATGAACGTTTTTGAAGCTTGAATTGTTCTTATTATTTTATCGTATTGGTTTATTTATTCAATCTTGCGCTTAATTATTCAATTTCTTGATCACCAATTGAATGCTATATATGAATCTAGGATTGAACTCGGGAGAGGAAATTCTAGATTGCATAAAAGATTGAGTAGAACAAGGTCTTAACTCTGAGGGGGGGCTTATTTGCAGTTAGGATAGGAATATACTTAATCGCCTTGCTTGGTTACTATGCGGGAATTATTAATGCGTTTTTGTTAATTCTAATTCCATAGGAATATAGGCGTTAGATTAGCTTGAATAGGCGAGTTGTACTTCAGAAGAAGGCTACGAGCAATATTAACCCCGTCAATCAATAAACTAGATAAATTAATTAGACAATTCAAGTGGAAAACTTAGCGGGATTGTTAGCTAACCCATAACTCTAGAATATTCACTCACATTGAATTCGTCTCTATAGTTTGCCAACTTGTTATCTTTAATCTCTTAATTTGTTACTCTATTAATTTTAGTTAAATATTCATACGTTAGGATTTACTTGAATAGATTAATTGTTTGGTTTAATTTAGTTGATAGTTAATCACAAGTCCCTGTGGGTACGATATCTGGACTTACAATCCTATATGACTTGTCGGCCACGTATACTTGCGCGTGTGTTTGGGAGAAACAGTCGTTGTGAGGTTGGGATACATCCTCGTCACAGAATGATAGAGCGTCCTCGGGTACATAGTTCCGAGTCCGTTTTTCCTTTATGATGGATACTTTGATAACTTTGAATATAAGTCCCTGTGGGACATCGACTCCACCAATGATCATGTGAATGAAATGTTGAGGTTCTTCGGGTTCATTCTTCCTATTTGCATCTCTTTCTCGGAAATGATTCTAGGCTCGGCCGCTAAGAAATTCACGAAGATGCCCCTCATTGAACAATCGGGCTACCTCCTCTCTGAGCTTCCTGCAATCCTCGGTCTTATGCCCGTGAGTTCCATGATACTTGCACATTAAGTTGGGGTTCCTTTTGAGAAGGATCGGTCTGTATGGGCTTGGGCCATCTAGCATCTCTAACTTTGCCAATGGCTGAGACAATACCCGAGGCGTCGATACTGAAGTTGTATTTTGATAATCTGGGTGTCTCCACCGGTCCCGAACGCCTATCAAACACGATTTTGCTCATGAGTCCCCGAGAACTTTGGCCTCGATCATTCTGAGATATTTTACGTCTTGAAATGTTCCTTTGATCTTCAACGTAGGGTTGATACCATTCTTTGTTAAACCTTGATCTCCGGTCTGTGTCCCTCAGGGGCTTGGCTATAAATCTGTGAGGATGAACTGAGCCCGAGGGGGCTCCCAATTGGTCGTCCTGGATCCTAATTTTTGACCAATAATGATTATGCACATCCGACCATGTCACAACTGGATATTCAATCAAGTTCTCTTTTAGATGTCGAGATGCAATAGACCTTCTTTCTTTCAAATCTTGAATAAAGGCCTGAACTGCCCAGTCATAGAGACCCGTGGTAATACCATCCTTTCAATCTGAAACCGGGACACGAACTCCCTCAGCATCTCGCCATCCCTTTGTTTTATCTTGAAGACGTCCGATTTTCTCGTGGCCACCTTTATGGCCCCGGCGTGTGCTTTCACGAAGGCGTCCGCCAACATAGCAAATGAATCAATAGAGTTAGGAGCTATGTTGTGATACCATATCATAGATCTCTTTAATAGTGTTTCCCCAATCTTTTTCAATAATATTGACTCGATTTCATCGTCATTCAAGTCATTTCCTTCGATTCCACTAGTGTATGAAGTAATATATTCGTTAGGGTCAGTTGTTCCGTTATATTTCGGTATATCGGGCATGCGAAACTTCTTGGGAATGGGCATCGGAGCCGCACTTGGGGGGAAAGGTTTTTATATGAATTTTTTAGCATCTAGACCTTTCAAAACTGGAGGTGTTCCCGGTATCTCGTATACCAGGGAGTTATAAGTTTCCACCTTCTTATCGTTGTCTTCTATCTTCTTTTCTCCTGACTCGATCCTTTTAGTCAATTCCTCGAGCATTTTCATGATTGTGGGGTTAGACCCCGAGCCGCTTTCATCAGGCCTTTCTAGCACTGGTTCATGCCGTGCGTTTACTAGTTCGGCAGTGTTAGGAGTTCTGTTATGACTCTGAAGTTGAGCGATGGCGACTTACTGAGCTTGCAGCATTTCGAATATCACTTGGAGGATGACTCCTCCTTCTTCCAATCCTCGTGTTTCCTGGCCTCCGGCTCGGGCTTCCCTGTGTGATTTCCATACGAGGTCTGTGCCTGCGTCCGTGTTTAGAGCGTTGTACGAACTGATATCAACTGGCTCCACTTTTGGCACTCCCTTAGGGTTTATGGGCGGTACGCCGAGCCCTATGCCGCTGACCATCACTGTCATGAGCAGGTGCGTTTTGTGTGCTAGACATATTTTGGCCTGAAATCAAAAAATCTTTAACAAGAAAAAGTGTGAAGAATAACGTGTGTTATCAAAAAATTAGCACTAAAATAATCACTATTATTTTAGCCCCACGGTGGGCGCCGAACTGTGTACCTCGAAGAATGTGAGTAACAATTAAAGATAATTTGTGGTTTTAAAGATATATGATGTATTCTAATACTAGTGATTATACAAGTAATATTAAGCTTAGGTAAAAAGAAAAGGTGAACCAAATCAGTGTTGTTGGAGCAATAGGGACCTCGAGCTTGGTTATCCCAGGGACCTCCAGGTCAGCTAAGAACAATAAAGTAAAAACAATAAAGCTGAAGAACAATTGTTGAGCACGTTAAACAAGGAAAGCAGAGTAGAATGTTCTATTGCAGTGAATAATCTGAGATCTCTCCTTTAGAAAATGATTGGGGTCCCTTTATGTAGGAGGAGAAAACTCCAATATAGTACATTCCTAATTGTGGTAAAGAATTCTATTGGTACGGGTGTATAACGACCTAGTACGGACCTGTACCATTTCGTACAAATCTTATCCTTTAATTTATGCCCTGATCCACGTGTCCTTGAGAAATTCCCGCTCTTTCTTGATTGACTTCGAGATTGTGCTGCTCTCGATGTAGGTCGTGTCAGGCCTTAGATCAGCTTCCTCAAGATATGAGTCCCTCAGCCGGGTCCGACCTCCATTTCGAGTTGCCCGGACTTGGACTCATAGTCCAATTTAAGACCTCGAAATCGGGCTCCTTGATTTTGACCTTATACAGAGACTATTTTTATTATTTAAGATTGTTGCCGCTTATTCAATGTTGGCTAACCTAGCAAACAGTGTTAGGCGCCGTGACGGCTTTGGTGGGATTTGGGATCATGACAACTAAGCATAAATCTAAAGACCAAAATAAACTATTCTGGAATAAATTGAACTGTTTAATATAAAAGAAATGTCACCTGAACCCTTTTATACTCTAATTTTATTTTATTAAGTGGGTCTACTGCGAAATAATGGGCCTCTGGTACTTCTTATAACTCTATGTGAACTGAAAGATTTCGGATTGGACTGTCCTGTGAGCCACAGAAATGCGAGTTTCATGGGTAGTTAGCTGGGGAGCTGAACGTGCATAGGTTTGGTACAGCTATTACTACACAATACAGATCGCATTATAGCAAATCCAATATGGCAAATGGAATTGTGAAAAAAGTGCCTGAAGATTTGGTGAATTCTGTACTTTTGAGGCTTCCAGTGAAAACTCTCATGCGATTCAAATGCGTCTATAAAGCTTGGTACAGTAACGTACAATCATCTACTTTCATCAGTCTTCATCTGAACCGTACTACCCGGGTGAACGACGAATTCATTCTCTTCACGAACTCCATCAAAGAAGAACCCAACCGATTTAAAGTTCTCTTGTCTTTTATGTCTATTGATAATGATGGTGATGATCTTCACCCTATCTCTCCTGATTTGGATATGTTATATCTAACTACCATTAGCTCCAACTTGTATCGTAGGCCATTGGGTCCTTGCCGTGGGTTGATTGTTTTGACTGATAAGGTAAATGCTATCATATTTAACCCAGCTACTAGACATTATAGGCTACTCCGACCTAGCCCTTTTGGCTGTCCACTTGGTTTCCATCGTTCGATAGAAGATGTTGGGTTTGGCTTCGATTCGATTGCAAATGAGTACAAGATTGTTAGGGTTTCAGAAGTTCAAGGTGAGCCTCCTTTCAATGATTTCAACATGAGAGAGAGGAAAGTTGATGTTTATGAATTGAGCATGGATTCTTGGAGAGAACTAAATTTTGTGGAGCAACAGTTGCCTCAAGTGGATAGGTATCCTTGTTCAGAGATGTTTTACAAGGGGGCCTCTCATTGGTTTGGAAATACGAATATGGGGGTAATTTTATGTTTTGACATGAGCACCTAAGTATTTCGCGAAATGACAATGCCTAATACTTGTCACTCAAACGACGGGAAGGATTATGGCCTCATAATCTTATATGAGTCACTAACGCTGATTTGTTACTGCTATAATTGGAGTATAATAGATCCTGCAAATGTTATGATGGACATTTGGATAATGGAAGAATACGGTGTAAGTGAGTCGTGGATTAAGAAATTCACTATTGGACCTCTTTGTATTGAATCGCCATTAGCTGTTTGGAAAGATCATTTACTGCTTTTACAAAGAAAGAATGGACCTTTGATTTCCTACAATCTTAATTGTCATGAAGTGATGGAATTCAATTTACATAGTTGCCCTCAAAGATTGAGAGGTACTATTTACAAGGAATGCTTGATATTAATTCCCAAACAAAGCGAATATGATGTAAGTTAATTCGTCATTAAAGTAGCGTGTATTTATTATGGTTATTCAAAAGGTTTCATTGGATTAAAATGTTCTCGTTACTTTTCTGATTTATTCAATCCTTTTATGAATAAACTTTTACTCGCTCCGTTCACTTTTACGATGAAGCCTCTCTATAGTAGCTTTATTTGGTCCGAATATTTTTGGATGTTATAGCGAAGTGCTGTTATAGTGAACATATATTATAACATAACATGAAAAGTGGTTCAGAAAAGCTTGGCTTTTATAGTGAAGTGATCTTATATAGGGATGTTGTTATAGAGAGGTCTGACTGTATTTATCCACTATTCTAAAAATAGATTTTCACTTTTACTTGTCCACTTTCGCATATCAAAAGAAAAATATTTTATTTTTCCTGTTTTCCCTTAGCATCAATTACTCATTCTACATTATTTTTCAAATCTATTAAGACTATACGTTAATTAATAAGGTATCACGACCCGAATTTTCCACCGTCAGGACAGTGATGGCGCCTAACATTGTACCCGCTAGGCAAGCCAACGTTTCAGAATATTCTAATTTTTTCTTTTATCTTCCAAATATTTAAGACTTAATCAATATAAACCAGCGGAAATAATTGCAAAAGAAAATAATTTAAAAGCTTAAATTTACACAATAACGAAAACCAAAGTAACATCCACCTAGAACTGGTGTCACAACTCATGAACTGTCTAAGATTACTACCAGTAAGGGTATGAATGAAAAGTTTACATCTGCCTTGGTAGTAGATAAAACAGAAAATGAAATGAGATACAAGGGGACGCTAGGGTCTGTGGACGTCTGCAGGACTATCTTGGGTCTTCAGTGCGCAGTGATAGCAACCAACCTCACGATCAGCAACTAACTCCAAAATCTACACAGAAAGTGCAGAGTGCAGTATCAGTACAACCGACCTCATGTACTGGTAAGTGACGAGCCTAACCTCGACGAAGAAGTGACGAGGCTACAACGGGGATTCCTATTCCCACAAGTCAAGGTTAGACCAAACACTTACCTCAAGCCAACGGATAATTCAACACTCAATCACTGCTTTGCCTCTCGATTTCCACCACCAATCCGCTTGTATCTAGACACAATTTGCTTAATAATATCAATAAATGCTAATAAACTATTCCTAATGCATGAATATAGATTTCACAATGTTTTTCCCAAAAAGTCAAACATCGACCCCGGATCCGCTTGGTAAACTCGAAGTTCGAACCAAAAATCGACTACTCATTCACCCACGAACCCAAATATGCAATTAATTTTGAAATCCGACCTCAAATTAAGGTCCAAATTCCAAAAATTTGAAAATCTTAAATTCTACCCAAAAACACCCAATTTTCCATGAAAACCCTAGATTTTGAGATGAAATCATGTAAAAGATGAAGTAGATTGAAAGAAATGAGTTAGAAGTTGTTTACCTACGATTTGGGGAAGAACTTTTCTTTGGAAAATCGCCTATGAGAGCTTAGGATTTCAAAAAAATTTAAAGAATGTATTGAAATCCCGTAAAAATCGCACTTAACAGGTTGCAGATGTCGCAATTACGACAGGAGCTTCGCAATTGCAAAGCTCGCAAATGCGAGACAGGCTTCGCAATTGTGAGCAATTTGTCGCAATTGCGCTCACTGCCCCTCCCTGATGACATCGCAATTGCGAAGGTTTCTTCGCAAATGCGAAGACTGTTGGCCCAGCTACTCTTCGCAATTGCAAAGAGTTACTCGCAATTGCCACACTGGCAGACCTCGCAATTGCGAACCCTGATACGATTTATATCAAATCACTTCCGTTTTTCACCAATTTATACAGTTATGACTTAAATACTATATCAAACCTGTACCGGGCTCCGGAACCAAAATACGAGCACGATACCACCAATAACACACACATTTACTTTCCAAAAGTCTTTATATTTTCCAGCAAATAATTTTCTTTAAAAACCCTTTTCTCGGGCTAGAGACCTCGGAATTCGATTTCGGGCATATGCCTAAGTCCCATATTTTACTACGGACCCTATGGGACCGTCAAGTCATGAGTCCAGGCCCGTTTACAAAAAATGTTGACGGAAGTCAACTTTAATCAATTTTAAAGGCCAAATTCCATATTTCTAAAAAATTTCACACAAAAGCTTTCCGATATCGTGCCCGGACTGCGCACGCAAATCGAGGAAAGATAAAACAATGTTTTCAAGGCCTTAGAAGACGGAAACGGATCCTAAAATAAAATATGACCTTTTGGGTCATCACATTCTCCACCTCTAAAAATACCGTTCGTCCTCGAACGGACTTAGAAAAGTACCTGAGTCGGTGAAAACATGGGGATATCGGCTTCGCATATCATGCTCAGACTCCCAGGTCGCTGCCTCAACAAGCTGACCTCTCCACTATACATGAACTGAGGGGAAATTCTTCGATCTCGACTGACGAACCTGCTGGTTTGGAATAGCTACTGGCTCCTCCTCATAGGTCAAGTCCTTGTCCAACTGGACAGTGCTGAAGTCTAACACGTGGGATGGATTGCCGTGATACTTCCGAAGCATGGACACATAAAACATTGGATGCACAGCTGATAAACTCGGCGGCAACGTAAGTCTGTAAGGCATATCTCCCACTCGATCAAGAATCTCAAAAGGTCCGATGAACATAGTGCTTAGCTTCCCCTTCTTCCCAAATCTCATCACGCCCTTCATGGGCGACACCCGAAGCAATATTCGCTCTCCGACCATGAATGCCACATCATGAACCTTACAGTTGGCATAACTCTTTTGCCCGGACTGAGCTGTACGAAGCCTATCCAGAATGATCTTAACCATGTCCAAAGCATCCTGGATTAAATCTGTACCCAACAACCGAGCCTCTCCCGGCTCAAACCACCCAACCGGAAACCGACACCGTCTACCATATAATGCCTCATAGGGAGCCATCTGGATGCTCCACTGATAGCTGTTGTTGTAGGCAAAATACGCAAAAGGCAAGAACTGATCCCAAGAACCTCCGTCAATAAAACATGCTCGGAGCATATCCTCGGACTGCCCTTCTGTCTGAGGATGAAATGTTGTGCTCAACTCGTCGCGTGTACCCAACTCACGCTCAACTGCTCTCCAGAAATGCAAGGTAAACTGCGTACCTCGGTCATAAATAATAGTCACGGGCACACCATGAAGACGAACAATCTCCCGGATATAGATCTTAGCTAACCTCTCTGAAGAATATGAGACTACCACAAGAACGAAATGCGCTGACTTAGTCAGCCTATCAACAATATCCCATAACACATCGAACTTTCTCTGAGTCCGTGGGAGTCCAACAACGAAGTCCATAGTGATACGCTCCTACTTCCACTCAGGAATCTCAATCTTCTGAAGCAAACCACCAGGTCTCTGATGCTCGCACTTTACCTGCTAACAATTCAAACACCGAGCTACATACGCAATAATATCCTTCATCCTCCTCCTCCACCAATAATGCTGCCGCAAGTCCTGATGCATCTTAGCGGCACCCGGATGAATGGAAGACCAGAACTATGAGCATCCCCTAGAATCAACTCATGAAGTCCATCTATTAGGCACACAAATACGACCCTGCATCCTCAAAACTCCATCATCTCCAACTGTGACCTGTTTGGCACCACCGTGCCGCACTGTGTCCCTAAAGACAAGTAAATGAGGGTCATCATACTAACGATCTCTGATACGCTTAAATAATGAAGATCGAGCGACTGTAAATGCTGAAACACGACTGGGCTCAGAAACATCCAACCTCACGAACTGATTGGCTAAAGCCTGAACATCCAAAGAAAGTGGACTCTCATCGACCGGAATATAACGCAAGGCTGCCCATACTAGCTGACTTCCTACTCAAAGCATCGGCCACTACATTGGCTTTCCTGGATGATATAAGATGGTGATATCATAGTCTTTCAATAGCTCCAACCACCTTCTCTGCCTCAAGTTTAGCTCCTTCTGCTTGAACAAATGTTGTAGACTCTTGTGATCTATGAACACCTCACATGACACGCCATATAAGTAATGCCTCTAAATCTTCAGCGCGTGAAAAATGGCTGCTAACTCCAAATCATGAACTGGATAATTCTTCTTCTCGTGAATCTCCAACTGTCATGAAGCATATGCAATAACCTTTCCATTCTGCATCAACACCGCACCAAGTCCAATATGGATGTGTCACAATAAATTGTATATAGCCCTGATCCTGTGGGGAAAACCAACACCGGCACCGTAATCATTGCTGTCTTGAGCTTCTAAAAGATCGCCTCACACTCGTCCGACAACCTGAACTGGGCACCCTTCTGGGTCAACCTAGTCATCTGGGCTGCTATACATGAAAACCCCTCCACAAACCGATGGTAATAACCCGCCAAACCCAAGAAACTCTGGATCTCTGTAGCTAATGTGGGTCTAGACCAGTCCTTGACTGCCTCTATCTTCTTCAGATCCACCTGAATAACCTCTGCTGATACAACGTGACCTATGAAGGCAACTAAACTCAACCAAAACTTACACTTTGAAAACTTAGCATACAACTAAATGTCTCTCAAATTCTGAAGAACGACTCAAAGATGCTGCTCATGCTCCTCTCGGCTGCGGGAGTAGATCAAAATATCATCAATAAAGACAATCACAAAGCAATCTAGATAAGGCTTGAATACTCGGTTCATTAAATCCACAAATGTTTCTTGGGCATTCGTCAACCAAAATAACATCACTAAGAACTCATAATGCCCGTACCGAGTGCGAAAAGCTATCTTAGGGACATCGGATGCCCTAATCCTCAATTGATGGAAGCCATATCTCAAATCAATCTTTGAAAATACCTTGGCATCCTGAAGCTGATCAAACAAATCATCAATCCTCAGCAATGGATACTTGTTCATGAAGGTGACTTTTTTCAACTGCCGATAATCGATGCATATCTTCATCGACCCATGCGTCTTCTTAACAAACAACACCGGCGCACCCCAAGGCGAGACACTAGGTATAATAATGCCTTTATCAAGTAGGTCCTGCAACTGTTCTTTAAATTC